AGCAAATAAACAAAGAAACAAAGCAAAGCAAAAACCCTGAGCCTGGAATTGCTTTCAAACCCCTGCCTTAACTTTTGGGAGAGCAGCTATGTTGCGTAAAGAGTTGGCAGCTCCTAAGTCTTTCCCAGACGGGCTGCTTTGATTGGCTCAGGGATCGTGGCAGAGTCTGTCTTTTCCCTCCATGAGAAGAGAATTACACTTTTTACGGCATAATGATTGTGAAAGTTATTTTTGTTCGATGGGAGTGCTCTTCAGAAGCGTGTTGCTTTTATTAGTGCTCAGAATGTTACAGTGACTTTATCTGAAGAATTTACACAGACGGACATTTTCCAGGATGAGAGCTATCAGCTTGTGCACGTACCCATATGCTTGCTGGATTTTAACTCTTGGACTGTGTTGAACAGCCTTCAAATACCTCTTAGTGTTGCGCTGTAACCCAGTCTTGTCCTGTCCTGGAGCGCTACAGTCGTCTGAATTTGAGTTGGCTGATAGCACCACATCTCATTTCAAATCGTTAGCCCACTCTGTTCAAGGGGTCTCATAGTCATCTTCATGGAAAGTAACACCGAGGAGTAGAACAGCATTTGCAAAATTGTCCATAGCTCTTGAATAGCTGGGGTCTGGGGTTTCTCATCCCGCCCCAGAGCCTGGCAGAAGCGCTGATTTCTCTGGCCCATTGTGCCTGTAACCTCTGAGCGGGGGATTGACGCTTCCTTGGCCATCTTCCTCTGTCCTGACTTTGTGGCTGCTTTGTTTGTCTTTAGCCCTGCTGCATGGTGATATGTCAAAGGAGCACAAGGTTGTGGAACACTTGCTTTCTGAATTCTTACGTCAGATTTCTTACCTCCAGATTAAAGTGAACTGACTGAGACGGGCTTATTTTAATGAGTGGGAATGTGACTGGCAAATAATTGACTTCTTGGTATTGTGGAGCTGAAAACAGTAATGCCTGGCTCGCACAGTCTCTCTTCAGAATAGAAATGTTGCGACTACACAGTTTTATAAATAGAAATGCTCAAGTTAAATCCTGTCAGTGCAGATTTTGAACACGTACAAATTTTACCTGCTGCGCTTCTGATGCTGTGATTATCACAGGGGAAGTGCGTTTAAATGCTGCAACTGACGATTTGATTTCCAAAAAGTAGCTTGAGCTTTTATTTTAGTTTGTATGTTGACGTGTTGGCTATTGGAAACTAACATGATTGTACTCTGATGTGCCTATTCTTAGCAGCCCCATATTATTGTTTGAAGGCTTGAAATGTTTGCTTTTCTGGAATTTGGTTCTCGCCTTACAGTGTTTCTGTGTATCAGAGTTTAAAAAGAGGCGCAGCAGGAGAAAGGAGACGGAGAAGTACAGAACTAAAACTGGGGGACATCTCTGATAAATTTACTCATTGGCCTTTGGCAATGAGTCGCTGCCTCAGTTTCCCTGTGTCTGACAAGACGCTAACAATGCCTACTTCAAAGATACTGTGCGAGGACTAATTAATGCTTGCAAACGCCTTTGAAGATGAAAAAGCAGGAGTTGAAATACAAAAAGTTTCCATGCCCCAGGTGGACGTTCTGTGTACTGTCTTGAGTTTGGCTTTTTCAGAATCTCTTGAGCACTTCCAAGTATTTTGAGGGACTAAGTTCAGTTGGACCATGGTGCTGAATGCTTTGGGGAGACACTGAGGGCTACAGCTGTACTTGCAGAAATCAGTTACTTGCATGTTCCCCCAGGGAAAGAAAGGTGATATCCCATGGCCTCAGCATTATATACCAGTTAGAAGAAAATAGGTGGCAGACGCATCCTGAAAGCTGTGCCACTGCAGTGCTTTTTATTTATTTTTCCCCAGGGCAAGTTTCTGTCCTTTCCAGTGTTTGATAAAACAGTCCAGTGATGAGCCCTGTATGAAATGATTTAGGGTAATTGCAGCACTCTGTTCTTGAGCCTACGGGTAGGCTGGAACAGAGCGGAGGAGCAGTGCGCTCTGTACTTAACATGGAAGTTGAGTGCTTGTGATATTTTAAAATAAAATCTTAATTTCTTGTAAAACGTGTCCGTTTGGTATGTGATGTGCAAGTAGGTGTGCAGGGGGGAAAAAAAAAGGTTTTCAGATTCTCACATCTCCAGTGTGGCGCCTCCTCTTCTCCTTTTTCTGTTTTGCCAATGGCGTGGTAATCACATACTTTGTAAGTACCGCATTAGTTTAAGATGCTGTAATGAATTGTTGGTGAATTATGGGATAGCTTGGTCTGGATTTTTTCACTCGAGGAATTTGAGGAAGACTTTGGAGCACTGTCAATAGTTCAGTGGTTTAGATGATGGCAGTGCTGCAAAATGGATAGGTTGGCAGCCTGGGCAGGGGAAGGATTTGGGCTTTGATCTGCATCCATATGTTGGGTTGTGGAGCACGCTAGGTTCGGGGCAAGGTGTTTTGCTTGTCAGTTTGAGCTGTGTTAGACACAACAGTAGGTAAGAGCTTGAGGTTAGTTCTGTGGTAAGAACAAGCTGTGAAATCTTAAGTTTTATGTATAAGGAGCCTAAACTTCTCTGTTTGAGTACAAGTTTCCCTGGCTGTGCAGCAGACTTCATAGAAATAGATAAAAAGCTCTGCTGAAAGACTCCAGTGCACCAACAGCTGGGTGTAAGGTCTAAGCCAGGCCAGCCAACATGCTGCTTCTAGGAGTGTGAAGGTTTTAATGACTCCTTTCCTGCAGTTAACAAGATGCATATCAAGAGTTTAGGCTGGATATTTAGCTGCTTCAGTTGTAAAAGATCTGGCAGTGCTGCGTTTGAAGCTGAAGTGGGCTGTTGAGGCAGCTTGGTAAGTGTGGTGTAAGCAGGATGCCTGAAAATTTTCCTTTCTTCTGGAAACATCATCTTGCTAGCCTAGTACAGAACAGCCTGCAGAATCCGTGTGGTTAAAAACCCTCCCTGTCAGCAGATGACTCGTTAAAATTACAACTTTGGAGGAAATTTTGTGTTCTTGCTTACAAGCAAGTTGTGACGTCTTTGAGAGGCCAAGCGGCGTGTGGGCTTCTGACAGTGGGAAGCGCTGGTTGTGGCTCGGAGGCGTGGCTTCCTGGCCGGGCTTCCAGCCTCAGCCCGGCTCCGTGAGTCAATCGCTTCAAACACGTTTCCTGATTTAGTGCTAGGTCAAACTGCATCTGGCACTGCTGTAGCTGTACTTACCTATAAAAATAGAAGGGCATAATTTGCTAGAAATGTTGGATGTGGGAGTGAAGGGAGCAAAACACTCTTGGATTTTTTGTGAAGTCAGTTCTAAGATCTTGGAAGACCAGAAATTGGTTGTGACAAATAGTAGGGATAATGCAACGTGTTCCCCATTTCATGAGCTTTTCATGTCCAAGGGAAATGGGATCTTTGGTGTGGCATTTCTGAGGGTTTCTCTGTCCCCTTTCACTTCTGCATTAATGTGATATTTTTGAAACTGAAGGAGAGTTCAGAGACTATTAATAGGGGAAGGCAGGTGCTGCCTGCTAGCTCAGAGCGTTTTAAAATCTTGGGAGAAGTGGCTCACAGATATAGCTAATTCTGTTACGAAATGTAGGTGAAAATAAAATGTCATACTTGATCAAGACATCTATTACTGCACGCAGTAATATTGTTGGCCACCAGACAGAACCCTTCAAGTTACTTTTTTCACTGAATGCTCAAGGAGTTGAGTAAAGAGACATGGAACAAGAAGACTTTCCGAATTGGTCATGTGTGACAGATTGACATGATAGGGAAAAAAGATTATGTTTTTGTTTCGCTTTTTTTAAGGTGCCTTCAGCTCAGTGGTGGGAATCATAGTGTAGGCTAGCAGGAGCAAGATGCTGCTGTGGTCAGGGTCTAGGATTACTTAGTGAGGTAACCATTTGAAGGAGTAGTTAACTGATGGTGCTATGGCGTAAATAAAGGAGGATTTTTTTAGTTAAATAATAGAAGAGCTTCTGAACTAATAAGGTAGTTGAAATAATATTTGCAGCAACATTTACAAGTAGATTTCCCAAGAACAAACATGTCCTATAAGGGTTTTGGCTTAGAGAAGCTGTATTAGGTTGTTGAGTCCCCTGAACTACTGTTTGTGTCGAGGAATGTACGACCGTGCGTGCTGTTAACCGGCTTCACATATGGTGAACTGCATAAATGCTTGGAATTCTGATAATTTATGGCCAAAATTGCAGATATTTCCATAGCACGCGACGACTAGCAGCCTGCATTTATCCTAATTGCTTTTCCTTTTGGATGCCTGCCCGCCTTTCGTGTGAGACTATTTCCTGCTGTCTCAGGATGGCTCTGCTGAATTTGAGAAGCAGTGATCAGAAAGGGAGTGGAGGCAAATATGGAATGGCTTATTTAGAATAGTTGATGAGACCAAACCATTGTGTATTTTGTTGTTACAGCTTTTGCCAGCTTACGGGAAGAAACACCCTGTTTCTGGGAAGGGGATAGAAGGGATTAAGTGATGCCTAATGATTTTTCCAGTGTGTTGTACATTCCCTGCTTCCTTGACCATAGACGATCTCTGCTGGATATTCAACAGATCTGCAGTGACTTGGTTTGTTACCTGGCATGGATACAGTATGGATTCCTATGCAGAGTTTTCTCAAAATAAACTGTTTTCTTTACAGAGTTTCTTCACCGTCCTTTCCTTGTGCCTTGTTCTCGAGCCTTCATCCCTTCTGTTGCCTTACCCTTTTTGCTAAAATCCAGTTTCTTGTTTAGTAACCTGTTTCCAGTTAGTGTTTTGTATATTTCTGTACCATCTTCTCCTCCCAACAAAGATTTTCTGCTGAAGCTGCAAGTGGGGTGCTGCCCTTTGTGATCTGAGTCCTCTTGGTAAGTGCTCCCTCTGCCTGGACAGAGCTTTCCTCATCACGCTTGGGGAGCTCTGCACGCCCAGTAGTAGTGTCTCTAATGAGGTTGTAGAGCTTGCCTTGGGAAGCTGTGCCAGGCCAGTTACAGCAGTGAAGTTTTTAAGTCTTCATCATTGTATGAGAATGACAGTATGGCGAAAGAGGAGCTGATGTATGTTAGACTTTGTGACATGGTGAAAGGAGGACTTGAGTTTAGGAGTTAGGGATTCTATGTAAGCAGTGGCGGGGGGAAAGGAATCTCTTTTTTTTCTGTCTTGTTTGTGAAGAATGAATGACCTGAACTTTGGAGTCATGTGGAGTCTGTGGAAACCTTTGGTTTGCTTTTCATGAAAGTATTAGGAGATGGTTTCCCTCATTGTCTAGTTATGATGGAGTGAGAACAAAAGCTTGTGAGCAAGTTAGGAAGTGCTGTGCTTGTGTTTAGCATGCACAGGTTTTCTTCTGCTTACACTGACACACGTGGAAAGATAACAATACCAGTCTCTCTTGCTCTTCAGTTGTATTATCCTGCGTCCGCCCTGTCCGTGCAGTCATACACCAAAGCAATTGCAGATGGTTTAAGTTGTATTTTTACCTGCTGTGTTGGCATAGTGGCTACAAAGTGGGTATGTTCCTGAAGAGAAAAACTTGGGCCTCTTAAGTAGTCAGTTAAAAAACTGGGGTTTTTGTTGGTGGGGCTGCTTTTTCTTCAGAGTTGGTTTGAAGCTGGTCTGGTCACAGATGCAGGTGGCTGGAGGGGTGGGAGGTGAAGGCAACTCCCTGAGCCACAAAAGCTTCTCACTCCCACTGGAAGGCAATTATTCGATTTAAGATTTGAATCTGGTGTCCTTGCTTAGGGTGAAATGCAAATGACTGGGTGCATGTTAGATGTGTCTTGTGACAGAATATATGGGAGCTATATGTTTCCTCCTCCTGCTTCTGGCTCTTCGTTGCATTTAGTAACTGGCTGCATTAGTATTGTTCTGGTGTCTGTGTGAATGTACATGGCCTCTACAACTGCATCATCCCACGATCCCTGTTAGTCCAGCCAAGTGCTTCTTTATGAGGGTTAGAAAACGATCACACCAGAGGCCTGTGGGAGAGGGAGGCTGCTGCTGCTTGTTTGCAGCAAAGGAGAGTCAGAGCAGGACCCGGACCATCGAAATCTCTAACCAGCCGGACCTGTGGGATCTGTTCAATACCCAAAGATGCACCTGCCCAGAAGAGCTTGGGGAACTCATTTTTTATCTCCAATTTCAGTATGTTTTCTTTTTCCATTGCTCTTGTCCAGGTTTAAACTGAGACTTAATGAACTGTTAGGCAGTTTTGTCATATGCCTGGCAAACAGTGTGTTCTTGGTCACCTGTCATTACGTGTTTTGGAAAGAACAATTTTTGTGGTGTTCTTTGGTGCGCCTTGTGCCTCTGCTAGAGCTGTTGGCATTCAGGATTGTGGAAATGAGTGATCTTCGTTAATTTTCTATTGATGACTGTAGTGTGGTGTGGTAAGGAAGTTGCAGAATTCTTAGAGTGCTGCTGTGTGACAGTGTAGCTACACTGGCATTGCCCCAAAGAGAAGCTACAACCTTTGCGTGTTCAAACATGCACTTTAAATATTTAGTGAGCCGGGGAGAATCCTCATGCCTCACTAATAAAAATTTCTGTTTGGTCTTGTAGAAAGATGGTGAAAAATTGGCAGAGTCTTTTATGTAAAGAAACGAGAACTGGATAATACCTGTAATGAAAATTCTGCTGTCTGGGTTTTACATCTTTCCACTTTCTTTTGTTGGAGTTCAGAGCTCAGTTTTCCTTTTCTGACAGAAATATTTTCTCAGATCATACACTAAAACATTCAGAAATACTGGCTCTTTAGACACTTTCCTGCAAATATTTAATTTCACATGTCATGTTTTTGACGTGTTGGGGGTTAATGTGCCATCCAGGCTCACTGCCATTATTTAAAATAAAAATGTATAAACTTTTCTCCCAAGTCAGTCCCTGTTTTTTGAACAGAAGTATAGGTAAGAAAATTATTTATATGGAAGTTGTAAAAGTTGTCAACCTTTTTTCTTGCCTAATGGGTGGACTGAAAGGTCTGTATGCTGTGAAGCCAGGGGAGAATGACATAGAAAGTTTGTAGAAAATGTGGAATTTTATCAGCCTTCAGTGTTTGTGTATTTTTGAGCAACTGTATGTTAAAAACTAAGTTCCTAGACAATACCAGATGCTGGAAAAGTTATTTTATGTTGGTAGCTAAGATAATACTCTGAATCAGCTAGGCCTCCGGAAAGTACACTTGCCTAAACGACGGCAGCTTGGTTTTGAGGAATTAATAGTAACTCATTACCACACCATACCTGATTTGAAAAGACAGGGGCCTGGACAGTCTGTCCCTGTCTTCTTGTTACGCTTGTACAGGTGTGATGATGTTTCATTTGTCATGGAGGTGGGTATTAGAAAAAGAACATGGATTTTTCTGTTAAATAAGTAGTATCTTTAATTACCATGATGAGCTTCATGACTGTTCAGAGTAAAGAAGGTTTCTATTTGGTTTGGCTGCTGTCTTTGATACACGACTGTTCAAATTCTGTGGAAGGAAATATTTTTGGTCTTGTCTTGCCCACGATCCAGTTTGCTGAGAGAGGGAAGGGAGCCTGAGCATTCCCAATTGTCCAGCTGGCGCGAGGGTGGGGTGAGCAGATGCGAAGGCCGGGTGGTGGAGAATCATTTAACTGTTTAAAACAACAAATCAAAGGACTCGTTCTTTTACATCCCAGTTTTTGTTAAATATTCTTTTTCAACATAAAGATATGAGAGTGGGAAAAATAACATTCATCCTGTGCTTGTGCGCAACTTGTCTGCTCCTTCCTTTTTCTCTTCCCTTTCCACAAGTTCTCTAAGTATTTCCTCTGCTTTCACAGTGGTAGTCGCTCTTCCAAAACCTTCAAACCAAAGAAGAATATTCCAGAGGGGTCTCACCAGTACGAGCTGCTAAAACATGCCGAAGCCACGCTTGGAAGCGGTAATCTCCGGATGGCTGTTATGCTTCCAGAGGGTGAAGACTTAAATGAATGGGTTGCAGTTAACAGTAAGTCAGCTAACCTTTTTTCATAAGGGGGTTGGTGACTGTGGGCTGACTCTGTACCCCTTTCTAGTGGAGCAGGCTCTTCTGTCCTGCGTGCACCACTGCTGCTGTGGGAGAGGTCAATGTCGTGTCATTTAGAGCTGACAGATGCAGAGCATCTCACCGAGACAGAAACTCCTTAATCTCGTGTACCAAAAATACGTTGCTGTTAACAAAATAATTCTTATTCATAGTGGTTAAAGTCTGAGCACTTGATCACAAACAAGTGCTGAAGTAGAAGAAACATCAGTGCCATTTTTAGAAAGTAGCCTGTCAGTGTCATCTTGGTATGTTTAACCTAGCTCTTTTTGAGGTAGGGTCGTTACCCAACGGTCTAGTCAAGCTCTGCGTGCTAAGCATAAAGCCTTAATTTAGTTAAGTGTGAGAGCCAGACCTAAAAGATGCTAAAGACTACAGTCACGTATATAGCCTGGCTTTCCTTTTGCCTGTAACAAACCCAGAGGTTAATTTTTGTAATTTTCCTCAAGTTAGTTCCTTCCTTTTGTTTATAGCAAGTTGTGAGCCTCTACTCGGTAAGTCTCTGACGTCATTATTTTAGCATCCTCTAAAGCTGTTTTTCTGAACTCTCTCCTTTCATACCAGGTCAGGACAAACAATGATGCCCAAATTGGTGTTTTCTGGTTGCTTGACCATGTGTCCTCCTCCTTCCTCTCCCTGCTGCATGAATTTGCTGCCTGCCTTCTGCCCTTAAAGTATGGATTAACCTAAGTCCTATCATGCTCCATAGCCCGTGCAGAGTTTTGGCTGCCACAAACTCTGTGTGCTGTCTGGGTATTTCCTCATCTTTTGTGTCTGTGGCTTGGCATGCTTCTCTGATTGTACGGTGCACTGCAGTGCAGTATAGAGTATGCTCAAGATAAATGTCTTTGAATTGTTTATGTGGTTCTGTGTGTTTCTTCTTGATCTTTGACCTGTTTGAGAAGTGAAACTGTCACACTGACTTCAGCCTTCCGGTGCTTAATTAGCTGCACGGTGTCCTGGTATATGGCTTGCCACTGCTTCCAGGGCATGTTGAAATTGCTGACACCGTTCTTTATACAAGTTTATTCACACTGTGTTGCAAAACTGTCTAGAAAAAAAGCCAGCCCATTTTTATGAGTAAGCATTACGAAAGATGCTTCATATATTGCTGGCATGCTTCCCGTTTGGTGGTTCCTCTGCTCTGTGTCTCTTCTTCCCCGTGTGGCAGCAGTGTTTGTCCCCTTCCGGAATGACTTAACTGCTAAATTAGCTGGGTGACAAAAGGCAGAGAAGCACTTGACAATAGAGTGGGAGCTGCCTTCTGGTAACAGCTGCGTTCTGTAGTGAAATGGTCCTCTTTCATTCCTCCTGCAGCAAAGTGGGGTTTTAATGTTTAATTTTTGTTGTCCAGAAGTGATTAACAGATTACGTGCTCCCTTCATTAACAGCATCCCTCTACCACACCTAGTATCAGTTAATGGTAGCTGTGAGCCCCTTCTGTTGACTGAGATATCTAATAAGGAAATGAAATGTGTGACTTAACACCATTGGTTTTGCCGTTCACAATAATGAGAGCACAGGAACAAATGTGTACTTCGCGCTCAACTCTTAGCCTTATTGATGTCTTACGGTAACGAGTTGATGTACATGTAGATTTTTCAAATATGGTTTCAAAGTTAAAAAAAAGATGAGAAGTGTATAATCAGTTTGGTTTGAGTTTTATTTGAAATCTCTTTGGTTTGAAAATACTAAAAAATAATTTCAAAAGTACATCTTGCCCATCCCATATATTTGTAATAGGACACCAGATAGCATGCCCTTCCTCGAGTAGAAAAGATCTTGGAAAAAAATAATCTAAGCCCTTGAAACTTAAGAACAATGAGTAAAAAGAGGAAATGAAAAAATGCAGAGACACTGTACAGCTTTACACATGTTGGAAAGGAGGTTCTTGCATTTCTCTTATTTGTCATGCGCTGCTGGCTTTGGTGCCTGGGTAGTATGTCTCATGGCCTTTTGAGACTTGCGAGTGTGGGATTCACAATAATCAGTCATCTTGTCGAAGTCTGTGTGGGTTTTTTGAACATGCTTGCCTTGAAGCAAACGTTGGGCTGTGGTTTCTACTGGGAGCAGGGAATGGAAACTTAATTAACAGTTCTTGTGTACACTTGAGAAACATGGGCTGTATATAACCACTTTTTGCTGCCCTCAGTGTTAACTGCCTCCTCCCCCGACCCGAACAAGCTTTAGAAGTCCTTCTGGTCCTCTGTAACTTTTTTTTAATCAGCCTTTCCCAATGTCATTTGGCTGTCCTCTGCTTTTGCTGTGTGGGCAGTGGGGAGAACCCAGACGTTGTTGCTGGAGACGAGCTGTGCTAGGTGCGTGCTGTACCGTTTTTTGCTTCCCTTTTTTGATACCTGGGAAGTTGTAGCTCGTATTCTGCATCTGCTGGACAGTAGCTGTAACTTGCTTCCGTGATGTTTGTGTAATCTTTGATGTTTATTCTCTGGAAAAATCAGTGAGGGGAGCTGCAGTATTTAACCCTCCTTTTTCCTTCAGCCATCAGTTACTTTCACAGTACGGGGTGTCAGCTAGTGCTTACAGTTAGGATGTCCGTCTCCATTTCATTACAGCAAAACTGCCTATCTCCGTAACAGAGTTAAGCAAGCAACACTAATTTGGGTAGGCTACCAAGTAATACGCTGGCTTCTCTTCGGCCTGGCACTGGATGGAGAGGAGTGCATTGTCGTTGTTAATTCCACAGTGTCCTGCAAACTAGTTGTATGAGACTATTCAGTGTTGCAAGTGGTAACTCTTTTTTTATACTAATTTTTAAAGTTAAGACAAACATGTCTGTGTCTGCTGCAGAGACTGGTCAGAGGAAAAAGCTTCCATATTGGTTCAGAAGGAAGAACTTGTGTCACCTGAACACTGAATTGAGTAACATGTGGTGACATGACTGTCAGTACTGCTGATAACAGATTTTATTTGAGTATTCCTGAAACCTGTCTCAGTAGAGAAGCAGTTTGTCACTGGCACATCGAATTACAGGCTCAACACAGGTAGCACTGAAGTAAAGTAAATTTTAAGTGATGCTGAGCCCAGACAGACACTGCACTGGTTTCTCATCCTGAGGGCTAGCTTTGCAGACATGATTCATAAATGAAGCTTCTGGCTGTGCTCTTAGCAGTAGAAGCGATGTAGCCTGGACTGGGCACTGGGGCATTAAATCTATTTATATGCTATATATGGTTCCTTTCAGGGTAAGGGTGTGTCGGTGGAAGAGTTAAGTTTGCAAAGCAGTGGGGTTACATAGGAGGAGTTGAACTCCACCACACTTGATTTGGATTTTTATATGATTGCTGAATTTCATCCATGCATAAAAATGGATGCGTAAGGACACCAAAGCTAGTCCCACAGGTCTTAAGTTCCTGTATACTTGTGTTACTTGGGTTCATGCAGAAGCAGAATTTACAGTAAGTTTTGGCTAAGAGAACTGCTTTCCCAAACGTGTAACAGAACTTAAGTATTAACCCTCTCCGAACAAAACTCCAGGGATAGTTTATAATGAGGAAACATTATGGACTAAATATTGATTTGTGGTAATTAATTGATAATCTAAGGAAGTTGCTTGGCACTGTAACTATTCCGATGTCAGACTTGCGTACGCACCTCCTGTATGTTAGTGTTTGACCATCACGTAACTAAAAGAGGGTAGATCCAGATTTGATAGAAAGAAGTTCCTCGTTGTAAGGGTGGTTGAGGCACTGGAACCGGTTGCCCAGAGAGGCTGTGGCTGCCCCCTCCCTGGCAGCGTTCAAGGCCAGGCTGGATGGGGCTTGGAGCAACCTGGTCTAGTGGAAGGTGTCGCTGCCCGTGGCAGGGGGTTGGACTGGTCTGAAAAGGTACCTTCCGACCCAAACTATTCTGTGAATCAATGAAATGCTCTTTGAAAAGGTAGTCTTTTGGAATGCAAAGCCAGTGGGAAGTCAGTGTCAGCTGAGTAGCGGCTCTCTCTAGTTGGAAAATGTTTGTTTTATTCCAGACTTTGCAGTGGAATTTGGGATTCTAACAAAATGCACCAAACTTGCAGAAAAGGAAATAAAACTCAGCTTTCTCTTTCCCGTTTCTTCCTTCAGATAAAGATTTTGCTGTGGTGAACAATTAAATAGTTACTGCCAGAGGCTGTTCTAGAAAGTTGATGGTTGCATTCTGCATCTCCTTTATAATTCATCTTACAAAGCGATAACAATGAAGGTTTTTTTACAAAAAATATTCCAGGACCTTTTTCAGCAGTGTTGCCCTTTACAGTTAAGGCTGTGGGAAGCTTGTGTTGCTGTTACAGCGCAGAGTGTTAACTGGTGGTTTAAATGCTTTACAGCTGTCGACTTCTTCAACCAGATCAATATGCTTTATGGAACCATTACGGACTTCTGCACAGAGGAGAGCTGCCCTGTGATGTCTGCTGGCCCAAAGTAAGGTTATTTTTTTACACATCATCGAGAGTGTGATGTTTCTGAGATGATTTTGCATTTGTGAACTTGAGACTAGCTTAGTTGAGTGCCAAAGATAAGGTAATTTCTGTGGGTGGAAAGGATGTCTTCTCTTGTTACCTGTGGAGGGAAAAAAAATTGAACCTTTGTTAAGGGAGCGAGGAATGGAAAGGTGGTGTTTTGGGGTGTATGTTCATTTGGTGGTTTTTTGTTTATTTTCTTTAGCCTGGGAAGTAAACTGATGATCAAAACTATGGTTTCCTTTTTTTTTTTTTTTTCTGAACTGTTAATGAGGGCTTCTTAAATTAAGATTTGAAGTTTTTATGTGCAAGCATTCATTCAGTTAGGGCTTACCAAAATCTTTCTTTCAGGCACTTGAGTAGGTATTGTATAAATAAACTTGGTTACAGTTTTTAATAGTCTGGCTAAGAATCCGCTACCCTGTCCCTCAGTTAAGTTTCACTTCTTTGATTCTTGTTTACGCTTTCGTACAGACATCCAACGTTTGTGTTTTTTCTTGCTCTGCAGCTGCTTAGTGTCCTCCAAAGAGGAAAATACCTGCATTTCTAAGTGAGTAGGGAGGGAGGGCACTGCTTCCTTCTAAATTGCTGTAAAATCTTAAATAAACGATAAAGAAAAACAATCCTCTCCTCCACTTCCTCTTCCTTTATAATGACATTTGCTGTTGTTGTCTGAAGCCAGTAATTGCCCTCCAGGGTGACGGAGAACTGAGGACATGCGAAAGGGCACTGCTTGGAGCACAAGGCGGAGAGGGCAGGAGCTCTGCACGGCGGAAGCAGCCAGGCAGACCAAGAAAAGCTTTGGCGCTACTTTAAGTTTAGTTCTTAAGCTAAAAATGGGCACTGCTGAATGCCAAACCCGGTGTAGGCAGACAGACCTGCTGCTGCAAAGCAGGGAGGGGTGAAAATACACAAAGAATAGAAGTTTACCATTACGCAAAAGAACTTTGGGATATGCTTGTGCAATAACAGCCCATTGTCTGCTTTGTGCTTTGGCATGCAGAACAGACTCTTAATTATTAAATAAGAGCATGAAAATACTTCTTTGCTTTATTGTTTGTCTGCTGAGAAGTAGTTTTGGGGGTGGAGGTTAATTATTAAAGGCTTAGCTGTCTGGTTGCCAGACTAAACAATTCGTTTCTCTCCAAAGAGACCGATAACCATTGACAGAAATATATATCATACTCAAATAGTTATGAAGCAGGGTAGAAAAGAGATGCTAAAGGCTAGAAGATGCATTTTGCCAAGGATTTAATTAGGTGATCTTGTCCCTAGGATTTGTAGAGCATTCCCCAGACTCTGCAACCCCCGCCTGTGCTCAGGGATGGGTTTTGGGAAGGATCAGAAGCGGGGCCGAGGCCAGGCAGGCACAGGAGCAGGTTATTTTGAGGCTGGCAGTGACAGGCAGCAGAGCATATAGTGGGTTTTAGTTTGAGTGAGTGCGGCTTGCTTTCACTTAAAAGGTAACCTGCAGATTTTTGCGGGGGGGGAAGTACTGCTGGAAAACCTGTCAGCATGAAAGCACAGATTTTTTTCCTTCCTGTTCCTCATTCTGTTTCCTGTTCTCTTCTGGCTGAAGCAATGTTAGTTGAAGCAGAGTTGAGTCTTGGGTGCTCATTAGTGCTTCTAGGCTGGAGCTTGCTGTCTGCTCACATCCATGTCTGACCTACCACCAGTATTCATTGCATCCTCATCTACTTCAGATGGAAGAGTTAGCTGAAACAACTTACATAAGGCCGTTTGAAACAGGTTAGGCAGCTGTAGCATGAGTAGCTGTAGAGAACCCAAAGAAGCAAGTACCCTTTGGCTCTACAGTCTGATTTTTGCATTCCCTCTGGAAGAGTGTTTATGGTCGATACATTGAAGAAGGGTTGTAAGGTGCTGGTGCATACGTAGGTAGCTGTTCAGAACTCGTCGTGGCTCACTCGCAATTTTGATAGCACAACTGCCAAACTTGTAGCAGTCTGTGGAAAAATTAAACTAGATGTCTTAGGTGAGAGGGCAACCAGAGCAGGAGTGTGATGTTGCCTGTACCTCCTACCTGGTACTGGTGTTTTGTCTTTAAAACTCTTTTAAAAGAAGAAAAAAAAAAAAAAAAAAGACCCTTGGCAACAGACAGGTCACCTAGGTTCATGTCTGGTTTTCTGTGGTTTCTTTTTGATAGAGGGAGGGTTATCTTCTCAAAAGGGCTACCTTTAAGCAAATGCTTGGGACTGTATGGCTACTTCTCTGGCCCACTGGTTCTTTTTGGTAGCAATCTTAACAGAAGGCCTTAGCTGAGGCAGGTAAACTTCTGTGTGCTGTGGGGATCACTTTCATTTCTTCCAGGCTTGCCTTTGGTGGAGGGATTGCTGACTTAGCTTTTATCAGGGTGTTAGTACATTGAGCTAGTTAAGGATTGACGTAAAGATCAAGAACAGATCTCCCTGTCCTGCTGTACAGCTCGTTGTCAAACTGTTTGGAAAAAAGCGTTGGTTTAATTTGTTCCAAAACATTCGATTACTCGCAGTGATGTTCCATTCTTCTCACTTCAGCAAAGACCAACTGTTTCTTACCCAAACAAGCCCTAGCTGGTTATCACTTCTTGCTGTTCTTACATCAGTTGCGGTGTCACCATCAGTGCAACAGGCATGAAAGAACCTGCATAGAAGTAATATGTTTGTTAACCAGCATTGGGTGAGGGGAGTTTTCTCTGTTTTCCTCCCTGGTTGTAAGTCTTCAGTACGAGCGCAAAGGAGGGATATGGCTGCTGCATTTTTCAAAGCTGGATGTCTGAATTAGGCGTCTAAAATCCATATTTAGGCATTTGTGTGAGTGCACTCAGCTCGCTCTTAATGGTGGTGAGATCCTTGTGATTTTACCGAGGTTTGTTGGTCTGCAGAGCTTCTGTCTTCATGTGATCAAATCAGAATAGCTGGGCGCTCCAAAGTGGACAGCTCCCATAAATCCTACGTGGGCATAAATCGGTGTAATTGAATGTTCGCCTGCTGCCTTTTGCCCAGTGCGTCTGCAGCAAAAAAATGAATAAATCATGTAATCAGGTCCTTGAAATACCCTGTGTCTCTTAGTCATATCAATCCTGCGGCTTTTTTGTGACGCTCCACTCTGTGCCTGTGTCACTTGATGACTGAGGGACACAACAGAAGTAGTATTTTTCAGTGGTCTTGGTGTAATATAGTTCTGAGATTGAGATGATGGGTCCAAATAAATGTCCGGGAATCTTTTAAAAGCTGTTACTGAGCCACTGCATTTTATTGGACAAGATAACAGCTTTAATGTTAGTCAAGCCAGGTTTGGGGGTTTTTTGGTGGGGTTTGTGGGGTTTTTTTTTAAGGCCATGTACGTGTAATTGCGTGGTAGAGGAGTTGGTGCTATGATTGTTTATATTCAGGGATATTTTCTAGTGTGAGAAGCATAGGTGGCAAATAACTTGTTATTAGTATGAGAGAATTCTACTAGTCATTAGGGATGAGCTTTTCCTTCGCTTTTCCTGTGCACTTGCTGAAGTGAACTGTGTGTTTCTTGCTCTACCCTTCACATACTGTTTTGCCCTCAAAACCCTCTACTAAACTGTAGAGGTTTCTAAAAATGTATTTTCTGTAGCGGAACTGCCTATCCTGATAAGGTTAATTTGTTTCCATCACCAGAGCTGTAGGTGTTTGCTCGCAAGCTTGAGCTAGAAATGGGATTTTACCCTTCATTTCCTGTAGCAGTTCAAAGGAGTCCAATATGTGGGAATTTTTTATGTGTGTTTGGTTTCTTTTTTTTTTTGTTTGGGAAGTTGGGCTAGGATTCCTGATGTGCTTTCAGTGATGTTAATCTTGTAGGAAGAGTTGATTTTACCCTCCCTCGTGAACCCCAAGCCTTCTGACAGCCTAGGGACGACCGTGTACATTAGTCCTCCTGCCTGGAGCATGGGGTGTTTGCTGGAATACTTTCAGATTCTCTTTATGACTCTCTTTTTGTCAGGCTACATCTACTGTTTCTTAAGAGCCATATTACTTTAAAGGTCATTCTATGGCATTCCTTCCTCTAAAAAATGCAGAATTAACCCATAGTGTTGGGGAGTGGGGAGGGGGGGAGGTTTCTTATGGATATATGTTATTTGGATGAGATTTTTAGCATATAATTTAGTTTGTTGTCTTACTGTCTCCAGACTGAACCTGGCACCTCAGCTAAGCGTTGATATTTGTCCTATGTTAATACCACTCCAGTCTCAGTGTTAGGGTAATACTGAGTGGTGAGGAATACTGATTTTTTAGATATCCAGATACGTTGTGGTCCGTTCAGCATGTATGGAATTTTTGGATGTGTTATGAGACATAATTTTAAAATACTTTCAGACCCTCTGATTTTTTGCCGTTATAAAAACGGGATATTTTTATACTGTTGTGAGCAGCACACTCATAATAGCTCATAAAACTTGTTTGTTGTGAAAATGTTCTCCCAGTTACTGTTCTGACAAAACCGAATTTGCTAAACAAAATTAGAAGCCAGATTTATCAGATTTGATAATCAGAGTTGAGCTTTGCATAAAATGATGCATACAATCTTTAAAACAGACGACCTTCTCCAGTGTTCACACCATACTAATTGGAGGTGAGCAAGGGGAAGTTTAAACAGCAGTGGTTGCAGCCCGAGTGTTGTGGTATGCTACTGCTGTACTAAGAAATAACAATCAAATGGAGCACACTATCCTCCAGGAAAAGAAGGAATACTAACCATTAATGACATCTCTTCTAATTCTTTTTAAAAGAGCTGAGAAAAAACTTGTAGATGATGTGGTTATATTTCCTGTAAAAGCATGACTGGGCTGGCATCACTATCCTTGTCTGTTTTGTTTGTTTGTTTGAATTTTATATTTTTAAAAGAAGAGTGTTGCAGCTAGCCCGAATGATTGTTCCTTTGTTTCTCGGAGAGGATTTCAGAGCTGCAGGGCTCAGCAGTCCTTTTCGCTTCTGGCTGTGCGGCAGGCTCGCCCCACGGACAGCCGTTCCGCAGCAGTGCTGGTCGGCTGAGCAAGGCTGGCTGATTTCAAACCAACGTGGGAGATGGTGCTGTGGTCAGGTCTAAAAGAGAGGGCTGTGCTCTGCTCTGCTGATGAGGAGAAACTGCTCAGATGTTACGGGTTGGTGAGGAATATTAAGATGCGTGTGTTTGTACTCAGCAAGACGTAGAAAGAAACAGTGTGGTTCACTTCAAAGCTGGTATTGTCAGAGTCCCAATGTTAAACGTGTTGGGTTTTTTTAAGCTATATGTTTCCAAGATTAGCCATATTCTCCTGTGTCTGCACTTGTGACAATTGCATTCCCCGAGCCAGTGAAATATCTGTTCCGTTCTAATTTCATGAGGACTTGTTTCTGTCTGGTTGTGTGTGTAAATGGATGCTGTTTAATACATTTTCCCAGGGCTTTTTAAATTCCCAAAGTTAAAATGATAACTGTGAAATGAATGACACTGGAATCTACTCATTAAAGGTGCTACATGAAAGATGTCGCCATCACTAGCTCTGCAAATGGAGAAGGATAGAAAGAGCACATGTTTTACTGTTCCATAGTCATGTCAGTGGTTTGTAAAGGTGTGATATCACCTTACCTACAGATGGAAAAATTACATGAAGAAGACAGTTACTGGCCTGCAACTATCCGGTGGGTCAGTGGTACAACTGGAAACTGAGATTTTTCCAAATCTTGGTGCACTGCATGGTAGCACTGGACCTTCAGATAGGAACCTTTTCTAAGGAGGACTATTTACCCTAGAGGCTTTCTTCTGCTAGTTAAAAGGCACTTCATACCAGCTTCCAGTTTTGTAATAGTATTCTTTGGCATTAACCCACCTCTGAATCTATTCTGTGTCTGCAGTACAATCGTAATTTGAGATCTCTGGCAAAGGCCAATGTAGTTTGGTCTTCATTTATGCAAAATCTATAAGAGTATTTTCAAATGTAAAGAAATTCCACAAACTATAGGGGTCTAATGTGTCTGCCTGGCAGCTGCTCTAGAAGTTGGGCATTGGCACGTGCGCTTTGCAGTTCTTCTCTGCTGGTGGAGGTGAAGAGAAGCCTGTTGCTGGGGCTGATGTGGTGCAATTTCACATCAGAAATCAATCGGGTGCCTTCACTGATTTGAGCTTCAGAGCTTAGCTTTTATTTGTGTGAGAATCTCATGTAACTTTTTGATGTTTCACTTCAACAGGCTGCCTTTTTTTTTTCCTTTGGAGGGTGGGAGGAAGCTTTACAAAAGAATAAGTAGCTATTTGCCTCTTGGGGTTTGCAAACCTACTCATACAGCGCCTTTTGGTGTATGGGGATGCAGGTTTGACTGCAGGCTGCCATGTGTGTTTTGGCAGGAGCATTTTAACAGACTGCGGAAGAGAGTCCAGCTGAAGCAGCATTGCAGTGGGGAGACTGGGTACAGGGCAGCTGCAGATGGCTTGGGAGCATTTGGACCTTAGTTTCAAGGAAGGGCCATGGGAGGGTGTGGGAGCATGGGGAGTGGAGCAGGAAGAGCAGCCTTCCAGGCCTTGATATGAATGATTCACCTGTGTTAAGAAATGTCTTGTTGTTGTCGTCCCAACCCAGATATGAATACCACTGGGCAGATGGGACAAACATAAAGAAACCAATTAAGTGCTCTGCACCAAAGTACATTGATTACCTGATGACTTGGGTCCAGGATCAGCTGGATGATGAAACGCTATTTCCTTCTAAAATAGGTAAAGTAAATAAGTAAAATTAAACAATGTATTTAGATTACAGTTGTATAGGAATATTCAAGTCTTACAGCATTAAGAGATCTCCTAAATGACTGATGGGTAGGGCAACTTTAAAAGGTTACATTTTATATATATATATATAAAGCACCTTAATCTTTTAGGATAAAATTGATGTGGTAGTACATGAACTCTGATCCATGTGTTAATACTCCTAATAAGCATCTGTCACAATTCTGAATGCAGGAAGTACTATTTCTGTTTAATAACTGACTGTGTTGATCAAATCTGACCCTTTTTTTCATTTTGTGGGTTGTTTCCTTAATATCCAGTAATTGGTACAAACTGGCAGCTTTTTGTTGCAGGTCCGCATGAGGAACTCCTCCTAGGCCCTACTTCCAAAGAAGATGAATTGTAGCTTTGATCTTAAGTTATTGGGTTTTTTTCTTTTCAAGTGAAGATGAAAGATACATGTTTTTAAGAGGTTTCTTTCAGAAAAGCAGGAGGAACATAATGAATGATGACCAGTTTGGAAACGATAACAAGAAAACCCTTCTTCTAGAGGCACGAAGGCCTGCTTGTTCTAAAGCTCATAATTGGTGGGGTTTCAGCCCACCACGACTCGTAGGCTTATGAGCTGGTTTGGAAAAAGGAAGGGAGATCTCTTAGTGGCTTTTATTTTGTGGGTAGTTTCTGAAGCATTTGACACATTTTCAATAAGCCTCTTCAGAGAAACAAGGCCACCTGTCAGAATCAAGTGGCACTTGTTTGTATTTAGAGTTCAGCAGATATGCGGAGAAGGCTGGTTAGTTTGGGAAGAAGTGTCAAAAAGCTAAATCTTCCCTGCTCGGTATATGTCAGCATGGTTTCTTTACATCCTGTGGCATTTGTTTTAGTGTTTCAGGGTGGAGTTCAGAGCTGGGGTAGAAGTCTGCTACTAGGAATGATGTTAAGTAGTTATAGTTAATTTTAAACTTGTATTCAAAAGACTATATCAGGACTTGATCTTTCTTTAACTGCAGCATATACTTTGCTGAAGACTTTTTTTGTTCTAATAGGATGTATTTTTGAAAGGTAGAGACTTAAAGGCAGTGATGGATAACCCACTAAATATGAACTTCTCATGCAATGCAGCAGCCAATGAAGGAAATGTGATGTACAAGTAAGCAGGGCAAGCTTAAGTAGGAGTATGAAAATTCTGTTGCTAGGGTTTGAAAGCATTGGTGAGATCATGGTTGGCCTACAGCATCCAGCTTGGGCCTCTGGCCTTCAGACAGGACTTCAGCAATTGGAAAGCCTGCCAAAGAACCAAGCTGACTGGGAAAACTGGTATGTGATGAGAAGCTAGAGAGGTTTGATCCTCTTAGGTGGTTGATACATACCTTCTTTTAGCCTGCAGATGTGTCAGCTACAGAGATTATTACTCCCAGTAGCCAGTTGCTGTTTCTTAACTGGTTTTAATAAAACCTGTGTGCTGACAAAGGTCTGCTGTTGAAACTGCATTTACCTGTCCTGGGTCATTTTCACTGAAATGACCGAAAGGAGCATGTTTCAGAGCACTTCCATCAGGCAGTAAGAAAGCAGTAGCTCCTGGCTAAGGGATGGAAATGAGCAGGATGGAAACGGGTGTCTTTTTGCTGGGCACGAGAGGGTTGAAAGAGAGCCTTTTTCTGATTTCACTTTAGCCAAGAGAAGTGTAAAACTCAATGGCTGATAGCAGAGGTGGCTTCAGTTACCTACACAAGGTATCCGGTGTCCCTTGGAGTACCCTGTGGTATCTTGGACACGTGCACAGAGCCATTGCTGAGACTCGGAGCCTGCAGGAGACTTTCCCTTTTCTGCATTGGCAGTCAGGCCAGGCAGGTACTGAGAGGGCATCTGTAACCACATCAGATACCTGTGTTTAGGTATCTGAATCCGAACAGAAGGGAGGAAGATTCTTGGTCAGAGAAGGCTCTTCAGGGAACTGTGCTGAGGCATAGCAAGATTGAGTAGCTGGAAGCTAAAGGTAGGAGCGTTCAGCATAGAAACATAGTCAGATTTGTCTTGGAAAAAATTGATGAGCCTCTGGTCTGCTGAAGGAGGGACACCTTCCCTCTGGTTGTTCAATGAGCCGCTTGTTGTGCTTCAGCCCACGTACATTGTGTGATGTACAGACGGAATTTCTGAGTGAAAGAAAACAGCCCATTTTGTGCAAGACATAGGGTTGGGCTATAATGGTTTTCAAAATACGTGAACATGGCATGGGCGTTTAAAGCTAAGCCATCTGTTTTCTTATTTCTAGGTGTACCATTCCCAAAGAATTTCATGTCAGTGGCAAAGACAATTTTAAAGCGTCTCTTCAGAGTTTACGCTCACATTTATCACCAGCACTTTGATCCGGTGATCCAGCTACAGGAAGAGGCACACCTTAACACTTCTTTCAAGCACTTTATATTTTTCGTTCAGGTAAGTGTGGCGGGAGCGTTACGGTTACAATTACATTCTGGAACAAGCCACGTATCAAAGCAGCGCCCCTTCAGTTTATTTACAGCTGGTAAGTTCGTAGGAGAGTCAACACCTCCAGGCCCCTAGCATAGTGTCTTAGTCCATTTTTGTGTATACCTAACTGCTGGAAGCATTCAAGGAATGGAAAAGTTTTCAACAAAGCATTCATTTGCTACAAAATTAAATACCGAAAAGTGTTCCCTAACAATTCGGTAGTTCCTAACAAAAGGAAGAGTGAGGACAGCATCTGAAGCTAGGTTGAAAAGAGTATGCTTGCTTCAAAGCTACGTTCCCCCGTTCCCCTTTGGAAAAGGAAAAAAAAAAAAAGGCATCTTCTTAGGTTTCCTTCTTTTAAGTGGAGGGATCACTGCTGTTCAGCTAACAGCAGACAGGCAGAAAATGCTGTAGTGGCTAAGCCTGGCCTCAAAGAGCCTCCTACCAAATAACTTCTGTCTGAATAAGACTGCTCACCTGAGGTGCACATGTAAAACTCTGTATGTATGTCTTTTTCCTCATCCTTGTTACAGGAATTCAACCTCATTGATAGAAGAGAACTTGCACCACTTCAAGAACTGATTGAAAAACTCACCTCTAAGGACAGATAAAAGGAAAATTTCTTGAAGTCACTTGTTTCTTTAAGCAAGCGTGTGGTATTTGTTTTTTGTTCATTGTTTTTTTAAAAAACAAAACAAAACCCTGTGCTGTTACTAATGACAGCCAAGATCTACTTTCTGTGCTTTTATTAGGGAAAATCTTTTATCTGTTAGTGACACGTGGTAAATAGCTTTTTTTTTTTTTTTTAACTGTTATTCATTGTGGAATTGTAGCAGGTGCTGAGTGTTTATAAAGGAAACATGCTTGGTTGGGGGATTGACTCTGCTGGTGGATGGGTTCTTGTATTGTGTCAGTGGTAGCCCATTCTCATGAAGTCCCTAAAAGACTTGCTTACATTCTCTAAGTGCCTTGGCAGACTCACTTCTGAGGTGCAAAGCACATACAATACTGAACATTGCTGGAAACAGAAAATATGAACTAACACCCAGGACACTTACTGATACTTATTTTAGAAAAATATATATATGCTTACACTAAAAAAAGCCATAACTTAACTGAAATCAATGATCTCCAGCTTTTAATACAAATATTTGTCTTATTTTTTTAGAGATTAATATAGAATTTTTCCAAACTAGATATTTCCTATAAAGAGAAGCGATGGTGACATTGTAGTTGCTGAAGCGAAACGATGAAGGTGGCGTCAAAACTACAAAGAACTGTGCTTGGCGAGAAGTTACATGTCCATTGCCATTGGGTTTGGCTTTTCATAGTTGCTTTCATTTTTTTTAACAGGGAAGCATCAACTTTGGCGAGTCACTTGTGTTAAGTTTCCTAGCATTTGCCAAATGAATGGTTAGTTTGCACAATTACAGCTAGGGAAAATATTAAATATTTAGAAAATGCACTGGGGTCATACTAAGAAAAATGTGGCTTGAAAAATAACTAGTGAAATGCTGTTTCTGAGTTATGAATAAAAAGCCTGGCTCTGTGGAGGAGCTCTGGTGGCCGGTGTTTTCTGTAGTAGGAAGTGTATCTTGGAGGGACTATAATTTCATGGACCACTTTGGATTTATGTTAGCATGATGGTGTTCTCCTCCATTTAAAATTTTGCAGCCAGCCCATCTCCAAGGAGCTACAGCAGCAGGGAAAAGTAATAGGAACATCCTGGTGAATTTTTAGTGGTTTGTGATTTGGTAAGTGCATCTTCTGTTTCTGAGAAAACCAAACCAAAACGTGGCCTTCCCCCACCTGGATTAGTGTCTTTGCCTCTCTAGCCTTGTGTTTCATCAAACCAGAAATGAGACTCTCCTGTAAGAACTGTTAACCTCTGGGGTGACCCACAGATAATGACTTGGAAATTGCTGCTGCAACTCTGTCCGTCAGGTTTCCCATTGAAGAAGCCGGTATGATGAGCTCTCTTGTTCATTTATGGACCTTGTCAAAGCCATTGTATTTTTAGATTCAGAGGAATCTGTATTAGGTTCTGTGATGTGTTATCCTGTGATATCAGTAGTTGACAAATACAGTATGCGAGGTGGTTAATGTTGCCAGGCTTTGCTAGATTGCGACTCCGCAAAACCACTGGTTTTAGACCTGAAAAACATGAGCAGCTTAAATGACTGGTGTATGCTAGACTGACTCTTGAACCTCTAAAATTTACAGGTGAAGCCAAGGTTAGCATACGACAGAAAAGTTGACCTTACATTTTGTGCACCTTTACTGGACTGAAAATGCTGAGTAAAGTGGAAAATACTGTGCAGCAGCCTGCAAAATATGTGAGTGGCCATTAGTACAGCCAGCTAATAAATATCTAAGCACAGTAATAAAGGTGTACTTATTTGGGAGAATAGAATCCCTGCTTCTGAGTTAAAATGATGTATTTCAGAAACATCTGAAGGTTATTTTAAGAACTATGTCATCTTGAATGGAGTTAAATTTCCTAGTCTGCTTAAACTGGTTCCTGGAGAAGCAATTTAATGTTTTGTTACATCTTCTGTCTCTTCCCCCTGGTCCCTTCCCGAACAGACTTGAGAACAATTGAGAAAACCTAGTATTGAGCTAGAAATGGGCATTGTGTACTTGTTTCACTGCTTAGTGTTTAGAAATGGAAAGGTGGAGCGTTGTGTGGCGAAGAATGGTCGTGCAGTGGTGTTCGTACCGAATTCAGGTTTGGCTGCACTAATGTTAGGTAGAGATGCTGCTTGCAAAACGCCTGGCAGTTCAGCATTTGTAATTAAGGCAGTCCTTGGTTTCATTCAAAGCTTCATTACAGTTCAAGAAAACAGAGAATATGTTTGACTCCTTTGCAGATCAATGTCATTGCCTGTTATAATCTGCACAAAGGACAAGTGAAATTTTCATTTATCCTTATGTTTTGGCTGGTTTTAATGAAACACCAAATTTTCTCCATGTGTGTATGTCAAAAGAAAGGACTTTTATATTGTGTTTTTCTTAGCATCAAGTGTTGGGATTGGATTTGAGTTACCACGGTCCACACTGAGTCAAGCTGATGATAGAAGTAGAGCTTTCCCTCAAATGTTTTAACAAGCTCCTAGTTTAAAAAAGGTGGAGTAAGGTCCTATCCCTTCTCAGCCAGTGCAGATCTTGAATCTCCCCTGTGTGTAGACACAAGTGGGAGGCGAAAAGGGGAGATACTCAATGTCTGCTAACTCTTCAGGGAGTTGGGAGGTTGGAAAAATACGCGCAAAGCATAAGAAAACGAGAGACAAAACCAAATAAGAAGCACAAGCGCCACTTCCTTCGGCAAGTTGCCTGTGGCTGCAGTATTAACCCAACGCTTTAGTCAGTCCCGCTGTTCGTAGGACGTACCTGGTCTGGCGAACATTGCATTTCCCCGTGCAGTTCTGTTGGCCAGCAGAAGAGTCAGTCAGTGCTGTAGCACCTCAGTGCTGCTGTCTGGAGTCGAGTCATGGGCTGCTGAGAAAGAAGGAGCTCCCATGGGCAGAGTATTCCATACGGTGGACTGGGCAAGTACCATCCTGTTGAACAGTCGGAGAAAAAGCATTCCTTTGGTGGGCGCCCCTAATTATGTGCTGAATGGTATGTTTGACAGGGTAGCTGGGAATGCAGTGCTTCTGCGGGCTGTGTGCATCGTTCGTGGGGTGTCTTTGCAGCCGCAGGGTGGTTTCTAGCGGAGTAGCATACCTGGTGCCTGACCTGGACATGGCTAAGTAAGCCTGCGTTGGGAGCAGTGGGCTGGCAGTGCTGGCTGCGGGTGCAGGGTTGGAGGGCTCTCTTAGTTCAGGCCAGAGTAACACAGAAGACTGTCGTCTTTCTGGAGTTACGGGGGCAGTCAGCACCCACCTGGCTAAGCAAAAGCAAGTGAACTCCCAAATTGGACCTGCACGATTTTAAACAGACTCCAGTCGTGCATGAACCTGAGTTTAAGAACATGACCTTACACACGCGGCCTTTTATGTGTGCTTCTATCTGAGGAGTGTTTAACCACAGCAAATTTCCACCTACGGAGGCGTGAAGAGCGCTGCAGATGCAGTTTGATATTAAAAATCCTGTAAACTTTCCAATGAAAACTGCTTTGCTGAGTTGAGTCAGTGCTGCTCAGAGGCTGCGTGTTCACTGTGCTGATAATGCTTGCTGGAGAGGAGCCTTTTAACTGGTGGTAGAGCTCGTGTTATCAGCGAGACATGAGAGTGAGAATGGCAGAAGCCCGCTCCAAGGTGCTAAATAGGAGATATCCTCCGTTAGATTTAGAGCTGTCTGATTGGTTTGGTGTCATGTACGGCAAGGAACTCAAAAATACTTAAAAGTGAGCATTTATTTGGAGTGATACCGGTGCAGCAGTTACTATTTTTGGCATATTTTTGCTCTGGAAGGTTGTTTTTTTCATCAGTTTTTTATTATTATTGTTTTACTTTATTTTAAATAGCCAATTCTAGATATTCAGAGGCATCTGCTGCAGTTCAGCCAATTGGAATTAGAATGTGTTATGTAAAAAAATTTAGTCTCACGTGGATAGTGTGTTTTTTGTATTTAGTCTCTGGCAGCAGCAAACACTTTGACAGAATAGTTTCTAGGCATGTAATAAAAGCTTGGAGATCATGATTTGCCTGACAGCTGTATGAACACATTGTTTAATTATACAACACTTGAAAATAGCAACATTAAAGATATGTATGCAGTATTTGGGGTTTAGTATCCCTATGCTGTTTGTATTTGCAGCTTTTAATTGTTTTTTGCTTCAAAAAGGTGTGGGACCAGACATTGGTGTGTGTTTACACTCTTGAAGTAAGGGCACATTGAAATGCTAAACAAAAGTTGCCATGTTGTACAGACGGAATCGGGATCGAGTGAATGTGTTTATGAAACAGTGCATTTGTTGGGGGGAAGGGGGAGGACACCCCTCACCCCCCAGATAAAACCCGGAGGAATGAACCCTGACAAACCCCGCGCTGCTCTAGGCCCACGTTACAGTTGGACTCTGTGAGGTGTCACGAACGCCTCGAGACAAAAACCTTCAGCTTTCTGGTCACTGGGAGCAGAAGGTGCTGGCGGGGTTAAGCCAGGCTGAGCCCTTCCAGTGTAACAGTGTCCTTAAATTCTGTGGTGTGTGGTGGTTTTCAGCTCCCAGCGCGTTAGACCGTGTCAGTGATTTGGGTGGTAACTTCAGGAGGCCATCTACCTCGAGACGAGACGGGATGGGGCAGGCTCTGCGAAGTTCATCCAGCGCAGCCACCGCTGACGCTGCTCGGATGGTGTGGATACGTTATGTTCGCAGAAGTCATTTTTCAAGTCTTTCAGATTCAAGTCAGGGATACAAGTTAATCATGCAAATGGCAAACAAAAATGCCACGTTCTGCTGTTGCGGTAGCCGGGTGGTAGGTGAAGGGAGGAAACCGGTTTCAAGGGGCAGGTGGCCCATCCCCAAGTATCAAGTTTCTTTTACTGCTTACTATGCAATGTAGAGCTTTGAGCTTTCGTTTTTACTTTAAGACCTAGAGGAGCACTCTCCTCGCTCAGTGTTTAGGAACTGAACGCTCCCCCAGTCTCCCCGATGCTCATTGACAGGTAAGGATACCTACTTGCTGCTATGGACTTGACTTACCTTTCAGATTGTTCCTTTCTATTTCTCATCCCCCCCTCGCTTTCTCTTGAATCACCAGACACAATTGTACTATAAACACATCCTTTTTGGGTAGTTGTTCTTTTTCTCGCTACCCTCTGCCCCTTCCTCCCTGCCCGAGTGCTGCATTACTGTATATAAACCGCCCCCTTTTAGCTGGGCTGTTTAAAAAGCTGCAGCACGGACACAGACTCCTTCCTCTTCTTTCACTAAAAGATTCCCTGTGACACTGAATCTTGCTTCCTTCACAGTTGTCTCTTTTCCAGACTGCACTACTAAAACCACTAGCAGTTTTGTGGATGCCTGTCATCTTTTCCGGATATCAAAGATGAGACTAACGTTGGTTATTTTAAGTGTTAAACCTTTTTATTTTCCTGCTTTCCATACAATTTCCTCTTGCCAGGTTAAGATTGCAGTCTAGGCAAATATCAAATGCCGTTT